CCAGATAGATCAAAACCTCTTCGAACCCTGTTTGTGAAGCCGCCTCTCCGATGAAACATGACGACAGATACCTGAACCCTTGCCTGAACAAACTTGGCTTAGGCACCCTGCCTGGTGTTGCTTCTCGAAAAGGCTACTCTGGCATTTATTAGGCATTACATCATGGTCTCTTTTATGAGCTGAAATTATGAAATATCAAGAAACAAGGAATTAAATATATGGACTGGGGTTGGTGAGACATTTAGCTAGTGACTTGACTTCCGATGATGACAGAAGCGGGCTTAGCCCCCCCCCCCCCCCCCGGCCCCTTCCTTGTTTGGACAGTGACTGGGCCATTAGAGTTGTTTTTGAAGCAAACCAGAAACAGAATCCATTGCTGTTTGTGGCCATACCAAAAAGCATAGGTCTTGGGCTGGGAAACGAGGCATCTCAGAGGCAGCACCCGATTTGGGAGTGTGTTTTAAGTTGGGGTAAGCTTTGGAACAGTCACAAAAATAAATGTATATTCTAAAAGCCACACCATAAGTTTTTCGGCCCTTTCCATCAGGAACATGGAAATACAGAGCTGTTCAGAACCGGACTCTAGTTCCCCAGAGGGGCAGGTTTTTAGCAGAGCCTTAGGAGAGATCCTGAGGGCCTTTGCCTCTGACATTGGGGCACCCGGAGGAGGGACCCCAAACTGCCCTAGGGTCCTGATCACGTCCTTTCTCGTCTTCTGCTGTTATTCCAAATATGGGAGATGAGCATCAGAATGTCTTTTGGAATAACTGAATTACTCAGAAATGAGTCCTTTAATGGACTAGGTGTCTATTATATTCCCCTGCCAGGCATCCAGTCATACGCAAGGCACCACAAGGGCGAAAATCGATGTCCAGGTAGGACAGGCGCCTGCTTCCAAGGACTTTTGATAAAGCTGGAGGTTGAGACAAATACTTGTGAAAAAATCAGAGACGGGAGAGAGTGGATTGAGGTAGAGCATATGCTTGGATTACATGCGGGAGAGTGGCCATGTTACAGGGACGCGGGGCGGGCCGCAAATGTCTCTGAACAGCAGGTGCACAGACCGGGGGTGGGGGGGATGAGCCCAGGCAGGAGGCCACCCGGTGAGGTTCTGAGCGCTGGAACAGAAAAGGAGATGGAGAGGAACAGGTCAAAGGAAGACAGAGTGAGACCTGGCTGCAGCTTGGATGAGGGAAGAAGAGGGGGACCCGGAGCCTGGGGGAGCCATGCTGCCCACCCCCCCCGGGAAAGTAGGGCCACTGGGAAGGAGGGGGAGGGGTGACTGGGGCTGGGCATCATAGTTAACAGTGGGAGTGTCCTGTGCCAAGCAATTCTGCCTGCAGGACTGGCATGCTTGACCCGGGCAGAGAGGAAGACTTGGGAGCCATCCTCTGGAGATGAAAAGAGGAAGTCTGGAGAAGGAAGGAGCTCCAAGGACCCAGGCTTTCTCCTTCTTCTCTCTGATTCTCCTTCCCTTCCTCCTTCCTTCTTCTTTCCTTCCTTCCTCCCTTCCTCCCTTCCCTCCTTCTTCCTTTCTGTCCTTCCTTCCCTCCCTCCCTCCCTCCCTCCCTCCCTCCCCCTTCTTCCCTCTCTCCCTTCCTCCCTCCTCCTCTTTTCTTCCTTCCCTCTCTCTCTCCCTCCATCCCTCTCTCTACTCCTTTCTTTCATTTGGTGCCCTCCATTCTCATCCCTTTTCCCCCTGCACCCTCTCCTTCCTGCAGGCAATCCTTCTAACGTATTTGATGGGGATCGTTTGGTTTTTACAGTTTGCTGTCCTGCTGTTTACGTTCATATGTTCTTGGTAACTTTGAATTTTTGAATAATTTCAAATTTGCTGAAAAGTTACAAGAAGAGTACAAGGAACTCTCATATACCCTTTACCCAGATTCACTTTTCACCCTTTGCCTGTTTGCCGTACCATCGTCTGTCTCTCTTTCCAGCTCTCTCCACTCACACAGCCACCCATACACGCGTATATACACACACACAGACGCACAGGTGCATGTTGTCTCTGAACCCTCTGAGAGTCGGTGGGAGGCACTGTGCCCCGTATACTTGAGTGTGTGTTTCCTAATAACTAAAGCATTCTCGCACACAACCACAGCACGATGATCAAAATCAAGGAACTTGACATACACAGAAAGAAAGCTAGTATCCAATCCACAGTCCGTATTCGAATTTCATCCATTGTCCCCATATCGTCCCTTGTAGCTTCCTGTGTCTGGGACTGAACCGAGGACGGAGAACGGCCCTGGGTCCTCTCGCTCACCTTGCACGCACACCTTGCTCGCCCGGCCTCCTTCTGTCCGGCGGTCACCTCCCCACCGCCCCTCCTGCGCTGGGCCGGGGGCCCTTCTCACACGCTTCCTTCTGTAACCCCATAGGGCCACCTGTTTGTCCACAACCCCCTTCACCGCCCTGCCCTCTGCTAGACGTGCTCTGCGGGGACACGGGCTGGAGGCTGGCGACCTCGGGCACTTCTGTTCATCTGTTCATCTGGGAAACCCGATGATGCAGGCACCCATTTCACGGGGTTTTCTGAGGACCAGCCGGGTCTGTGTTGAGGATCAGATGAGTCCAAATCTGCACGCAGGACGCTGCGTGGCACCCAGGGGGGAGCTCGGTGACCTCCGTCCCCTTTCTATTTCAGCGTCACCAGGGTGACCGCCGTCTAGCCCGGCACCCGGCACATAGCAGGTAGTCAATAAAATACTTGCTGGAGACTGAGTCCAGGCTGGGGAAACAACGCTGGGGAGTGGCCCAGGTGGTGGAAGCACCCAGAGAAAAGGGAAGGCTCCCCAGAGAGCGTTTGGAGCTGACCTGGCACCTCGCCAAGCCCCTGGGTTCTGCAATCCCACAGTTAGGGGTGCGCGGCACCCTCGAGGGGAGGCCCTCCGTGGGTTCGACTTCCCTGTCAATGTTTTCTGACAGCAGGTGGGGAGAGGCGCTGGGGGCCCGCGTAAAAGGCTCTGGTCGCGGGAGCTGCAGGTTTCTCGCGCAAGAAAGTGACAGGTGGGTAAAAGAATGACTTGGAGGGGCAGACAGCCCTGTGTCCCCCTGGGGCTCCCGTGACTTAGGAGCTGGGAGCTGGGTGAGTGAGGAGGGGACCCCGGGGCCGACACGGGCAGCGAGATGGCGGAGCCAGGGCTCCGGGTGGAGGGAGGGTCCGGGACGGCCGTCTGGACGCTGAGTCAGTCAGTGTCCCTTGGTGACTCAGGAAGGAGTTCGTGCCCTTGTTAAACCAGCAGCTGTGACCCTGGAAGGGCAGAGCACAGAGGTTCAAGGCCAGAACCTTTGGGCCCTCCGCCAGGTGCAGGGAGGAAGGGAGCAGCAGGTGAGCCGGACGCTGCTATCCTCCAGAAGCTTTGGGAGGTCGGCTCTAGAGGCAGTGGCCCCCGGAGCCATGTCAGGAGGCCTCAGGGACCCCGCTTTTTGGGTTGCCTGATTGCAAGGGATTTAGGACCCACCTAGAGGGAGGCATCGGGGCCGGCTCATATTGAAAACACACGGTTGTCTGAAAACACAAGGTTTTCTTTCTGAGCCCTGAAGAATCCAGGCGGGGGGGGGGGGGGGGGCCCGGCCCGCCAGGCCCGGGCCCAGCTCCCACCCCAGGCCTGACTCCGTGGGGCACCGCTGGGAGCCGGCCTGCCCGGGAGGCGTGCTCTGGGCCGTCCCTGGAGACCTGGAGAGGGAGTGAGCACGTGGCCTCCTGAGCCCTGAGGGTCTTAGCTGCTGTGACCTGGTGAGGATTAAGTCCAGACCCACCGCCTGGGTGTTTGCCTACCCGGGCTCCATCCTGGCGGCATCGCAGAGAAAGGCAGACCGTTTCCTTCCCAAACCCCTGGTTGATCTTGAGAGGTCTGAGCCTCATCCAGCCAGTACCCCTGAGGAGGGTGGGGCTAAGAAGCTTTTTTGTTTTAGGCTCGAGGAGGGAGCCGAATTGGATTGTCCCACGGTGAGGGAAGGGGGCTCAGCCCAAGGGACAGCGCGAGGTGGCAGGAGGCTCCCACAGGCATGGGGACTTGGCAGGCTCTGGGAGTGGTACTCCCACTGGCACCTGCCGGCCAGATGACGTTTGGCTTCGAAACATAATGTGACGGTTCTACCAAGAGCTGTGGACCCAAGTCACCCACGGGGAGTCCCAGCCCGTGCCCTGAGTTTTCACTGATTTATGCTTGAAATGCTCAAGTCATTTTTTCCTAGCATTTTAAATGTTCTGTGCGTTTCTTTCTTTCTTTCTTTTTTTTTTTTTTTTTTTTGTGAAAAACTACAAACACACAGGCATAGACCCGGTGCCCACCCAACTTCTGCAGGTGCCAGCCTATGGATGAACTTGTTCCCACTATGGCCCCTTTGCATCCTTCTCCTCTGTTATCATTTCTTGTATGGACGCTTTTCCAAGTTTTTTAATGTTTGTTTATTTTTAAGACACACACACACACACACACACACACACACACAGAATCCGAAGCAGGCTCCAGGCTGAGCCATCAGCACAGAGCCCGACGCGGGGCTCGGACTCACAAACCGCGACATCATGACCTGAGCCGAAGTCGGCCGCTTAACCGACTGAGCCCCCCAGGGGCCCCGTGTATGTACACTTTCCAACGAGGTCTAATGTCACAGAAAAGTGCACAAGTCGTACATCTGCAGCGTGATGAACTTTTGCCTCCTCTGGTACCGTTTTGAAGCCACCTTGTCATATGATTTCATCTGTATATTTCGCCCTAAACACACCTTTTTCTTGTGGTGGAAAGCACGTAGCCTTGGACTTACCATCTGAGTCATTCCTAAGTCTGTGGTTCGGTAAGCGTTCGGTGTACTCACGGGCTTGTGCAACAGGTCTCCGGAACTTTCGCATCCTGCAATACTAAAAAGCTCTATTCCAAATCATTTGAAATGGTTTGAATCATTCAGTCGCTGGAGAGCTGAGCTGGAAAAGATGTCTGCATTCGTCTGCCTTCCTGGCACATGCCACGAAGGCGGGAAAGGGACACGCGGGTCGTGATCGCACAACTGACTCCAGAAAGGCTCTGCAGACAGGAGGTCTGCCACGAGTCACCTGCTCCTGGGGCACACCCCCTTGGACGCACAGTGATTACGGGGTGGACGGCACGTATTAAGTGAGGTCAGGTCACGTCTCCGCAGCAGCCCTTGTGATTATCATCTTTGCACATTCGGTCTCACGGCAGTCTGACAGCACATTCTGGGTCTGGAAAAAAAAAATGGAGAAAGAGGTGGTTTTCGTGCATTTCTAAAGGAAGCACAGAGGAGCGAGGCACTTTTTGCCGGTTTTCAAATTCAACTGGAAGGTCTGACTCCCCCCACCCCCCCCACCCCCAGGAATGGCTGGGGGAGGCGGGGGCGGTGGCTGTAATGCCTCAACCCGATTCTTCCATTATTATTTACATTCTATGTCCTCTCTTTCAAGAATATTTTTTTGACATTTGCCTTCTGGCAAGCCGGCACCAGTGAGTGGGAGTTGCAGGGAGGTGGACGGGGCTGAACATAAGGAAGAATGTTCTTAGTCAGAGCAGTCCAAAAATGGAATGGCCTGACTCAGAAGGCAGCGTGTCCTCAGCCTGGATGAGGTCCTGGTGAGGTCCCTTCAGGGGAGCGCCGCCCGGGGCTGGGAGGGATGTGTGCAGGAGCCAGTGACAACCACCTGGTGTGGGCACCTGAGCACCTACTATGTGCCAGCTCCGTGCCAGGTGCTTCCATGTGGACGGACTCGTTTCATCTGCAAATGGCCCGATGGGACGGGTACAGCTATCACCTAGTACTTCTTCCACTTACAGACGAGGAGGATGAGACACCCAGAGGCTCCAGGACCTGCCCAAGTGGATGTGGAAGTGAGGGAGGCAGCCTCAGGGCCAGGCGGGCACGAGTCTTTCAGATGTCCAGGGGGTTACATGCCCCGGCTCAGTGACCAGCTGTTGTGTGCTAAAAGGAGCTTGCGAGGCAGTTGAGTCAGCCTAAAACATTCTGGTAGAAGTCAGGAGGGCCGCTAGATCCCAGAGTCAAGGCCCCATCAGTCATCAAGTAACCGACGCTAGGTTTGCTCAGGACAGAGGGCCAGGGGAACGTGTCGCTCCGGGGCCCAGGTTCCCAGCCTCGGCCTCCACTTGGATCTGCCTCCCTTGGGCCGGCCCCGTCTCTGAACTGGCTCCTTGCTTGTTCCTTCTAGCCTACCCTCCAGTTTCAGGAGTCCATTCCACACTTTCAAGGCTTTGCCTTGGTCTCCAGCCCAGGACAATGTCTTAGGGACAGCGGCAAGAAGGCGAGCCTTGGAACCCGGGGTTGGGAGAATCTTGGGAATGGCCACCCTTGGGAGAAGTTGTTTGCATTCTCTGCATTTTTCCGTAGATGCCTGTTTCCTGAGATTTGTGCAGGTCACAAAATGCTAACTCGGGAAATCACAGACGACGGTTGGCCGACTTTCCCACCCGCGGACCGAGGGTCCCACCCCGCGCATGGCCCTCTGGCATTCCGCCGGTAAGGCTGCCTTCTGCAAAAAGACACATCGCAGCCAAGTCCGAAGAAGAATGTTCTTTCATTTGCCCCGTGGTGGGAATAGTGACCAGGGCTGATGCACCGGGCTGTAGATGGGTCGAGCTAAGAGATTCCTGTGAACAGTGCTCCGAGTCGGAAAACGTGGTACCGCTCAGCTCGGGGGCCCGCTGTTTGTGAAACGAGGAACACCTAGAACATCCCTGAAACTCCTTCTAGCTGTAGAACATTCTGATCCATGATCGAGGGAAAGAGGAAAGCCTCTGGGTGTCTCATTTTCCTCATCTGTAAGATGGAGGAAATACTAGGTGATAACTGTACCCGGCCCATCGGGCCATTTGCAGATGAAACGCGTCTGTAAAAAACCAAAAAGACTTTATGATGGGCCAAGGAAGCACACAGAAGTACTTGCTTCCTTATTCAGCCCCAAATTGCGGAAAGTTCAGTCTCTAGCAATCACAGTGCACATTCTAGTTCCCATATACTTTTATGTCTCGAAGGCTCCCACAAGGGACATTTGCTAATGCCCGACAAGAGATTCCAAACAGGTGAACTGGCCTAGAGGCTGCAGCTTTACCCCAGGGGCCTGGCAGTCTTAGGCATTTACGTAATAATTAGCTACGAGTGAAATCTTTCTCGAACGATACACACGGTTGTGCTTTCCTTGCAACAGTTCTATGAAACAGGTCGAGATCTTTTCTTCTGACTTTGCGCCTGGGAACACTCGTGGACCAGAAGGTTTAGTTGCTTTTCCAGAATGTGTCAATAGGGAGCGCAGCTTGGGCCTGGAACTGGCTAGATCCTGGCTAAGTAGACCTTGGGGTCTCTACCACTCGCACCTTTGAGGAGAAGAGAGTCGCCTCTTGCTTTCTGTCAAGTATTTGCCCCAGACTGCTGTACCTGCTATGAGATTGCAGGCTAATGAAGGCCAGACGGGAAGCCTCTGTCTTCTTTTCTTTCAAGAGACCCTGGACCTGTATCCCAGCTTTGTTCGGAGTCAAGGAGGAAATTCCTTCATCGCTAACTTCACTGTCTGAGCCTGAACCAGAAAGAATAACATGTGCGATTTTAACTGTTTTCAGCATCTGTTATGACACAATCCGTGAAGCCTTTTGTTAATTTTCCTGACGATTACCTCCCGCTCATATCCCTTCCCCACAGCTGTCTGGCCCTTTTCCTGGGCCAGCCCGACACTCTAAAGTAACAGGATTTCTGAAATCCCAACTGCGCTCCGTCGCCAAAGACGACTTTGCTCACCGGGGCCCGGCGAGTTGTTTTAAAACACCGGCCCGTGCCAGGTAACAAGGCAAAGAGCTACGACTCTCTCACAACCGAGGGTAATTCATCAACTTGGAGGGCGCCAGATAGAAACGGCGAGATCCTCAACTTCCTCAAAACCCCTTTCTAGCCCTCCAAACGAAAAGTCTCACGTGCAGAAACATATTTGTCACAACGTGGAAATCTCGCGAGCCATCACCGCGGATCCCCGTGTGGATACTAACTTTCTGTCCCAAATTGTAAAATGTATCGGCACGTGCAGTAAGGCGATACCACGGTTTCTTAGAACCCGCGTCCCGCTTTAGGGAGAAGTAAAAGTAAGGCAGGGAATCTTGAGTATGAGTCTCCTCCTTATGGGTGGAAAACTGTCTGCCACAGATTTGGGTAGATGGAAAAGGTCCCTGACGTTTGGACGGACCGAGTTCCTCATCTGCAGCCCGGAAGAGGTTTTCCCCGGACGGCGGTGGGGATGTAGTTAGTGTTCCCAAGAACTCCTTGGTGGAGATTTTTACGTCTGGGACACGCCTCTCCCAGGTGACTGTGTACTTACGTGCTGATCTGGAGGAGGACACGTCAGCCACCGATCCGGAACCTCCTTATGCCGTTTCTAGACGTACTTCTGTGGTATTTTGGAGAACAGTAACTATGTAGGCTCCGCCGTGCACCCCTGGTGTAGCTGTGCGTCAGCAGCCCACGGTAGGCTCTGGGGTCAACATGATGTTGGCCTGTTTGGGATACGATGGCACGTGAAGCTTTATGTTTCGATCCACCTCTCCACGAGAAAGCTTTCTAAAGAGCAACAGTTATGGCACGTTGTCACAGAGAGGGTCTCAGTAGTTTTTATTTCTTTTTTTTTTTTAATTTTTTTAAATATTTATTTATTTTTGAGACAGGGAGAGACAGAGCATGAACGGAGGAGGGTCAGAGAGAGAGAGGGAGACACAGCATCTGAAACAGGCTCCAGGCTCTGAGCTGTCAGCACAGAGCCCGACGCGGGGCTCGAACTCACGGACCGTGAGATCATGACCTGAGCCGAAGTCGGATGCTTAACCGACTGAGCCACCCAGGCGCCCCTAATTTTTATGTTTCTGATTTGACTTTGCCTTCACCGTCCACCAAGCCCAGGATCCGAGATGCCGTGAAATTTCTCACACGGTAAAGCTGAATCATGGAATGGCACGTCAAACCTAAGTCCTTTTCCATTGTTTTTCCACCACCGAGAATTATTTAAAAAGATCTCTGTGGCCAGGACAGTAGGGATCCTGCATTATCTATCGCCAGGTCAGGAAGAAAATTATTAAGAAGTTCAAGCCCAGGGGCGCCTGGGTGGCTCCGTTGGTTAAGTGCCCAACTCTCGGTTTCCACTCGGGTCATGATCTCGAGGTTCGTGAGTTCAAGCACCATGTCGGGCTCCCTGCTGACAGTGCAGAGCCTGCTTGGGATTCTCTCTCTCTCTCTCTCTCTCTCCCCCCCCGGCTTCCCCCCGCTTGCTTTCTCTCTCTCTCTCTCAAAATAAATAAATAAACTTAAAAAAAAGTTCAAGATCATGATCACGGAAAAGTAAACCCCATGCACAGGTCCCCTCTGAGCACAGGGCCCTGTGTGTTTCACTGCCACATGACCAGGAAGCAGGACGTGGCCAGAGGTGCAATGGCCCTGGGGGGTGACAGGCTCAGGTCAGGTGGGGATGCCTTGAGTGTCTGCCTTTCTTCCCGAAAGCCTTTGGCTACAGCTTTTCCTGGAGGACCTCCAGCTCCTGTCCATCACAACCCGGGCCTTGACAGATTTGGGGTGGACTCTGTCTCAGCCATCCTTGGTCTGTCTAGCCCCAAGCCCTTGGCCTCTGGCCTCCACGCCACTGCCTCGTATTCATATCCAAGGGGCTTTAAGGCCCCCACCACGAGAGTGGGTGATCCAGAAGGGCCGCATGGGCAAGAATCGTGGCGTCACGGAGCAGGGAGAGTTTCTGTGATCGTCAGCTTAGGAGACGTTGGGATACGCTGGGGGCACCTGCCTCCTCCCTGGATCCGCATCACTAACTAGGTTTTGTTCGGTGGAATCTTAAGGATTCTTTGGAGCCAGTGTTGCCTTGGTGGGTGTGAGGTTCTTATCTGCAACCTTGGGAAATCCGAGTTTTCTCTCTTCCAGGTGAGTAAATATATGTTTGGACATAAAAGTTTGCAAAGCTAAATACTGTGGGAGGTGTCCACGGCTCAGCATTGCTTTTGGCTATTGGCCTTGGACCAGTGACTACCGACGGGCTGGCAGGATGCGGGTGGGGCGCCTGTGGACTGTGGGTCAGAGGAGGCCCCTGAAAAACTCAGAGCCTGTGCAGGAAAGGCTGGCAACTGGTCCCGTCTCATGGTTCATTAGCCCCGTAGCCAGGCGCCCGGAGGTGGGTGGGAAGGAACAGGTGGCTGCCCTTCTGGAACGTCATAAAACCCCTGCAAAGCATGTGCTTCGTTTTCAGGGACAGTTGCCAAATTCTTGCCCTTGAAATAATTTTCCAGGTCTCTCTGCTAGAAAAAGGCTTAATCTGGAGAATGAAGGAGGGAGGAACCAAGTGAGAATAAACTTTCACGTTTTCCAAAAAAAAAAAAAAAAAAAAAGGAGAGGGATCATTTATAGGAACCCGTTCTAAGGACAGACTCCCCCCCACCCCCCACACACACATACACAAACCCCAGTTCTGCAAAGCAAATAATCAGAACCATGACTGAATTCACGGGGGTTTGGTCAGGCACATCCAGATAGCTCAGAGCTCACAGGAACGCGATGTGGACCCAGGGTTACCCATTCCAGCTTTGAGAAAACTATATGGTGTTTACTGGGTTCCCACACGGCTGGGGACCACAGCAGCCCCCCCCCTCCCCCGCCCCCATGCGGGGATGCGCCCTCTCGGCAATCACTTTCCACCAGCCCGTCCCCAGGAGCACCACTCGGGCTCCGCGGTTAATCTGTCGACAGCCAGGGGAACGAACACACTGAGTCATCTGCCTCCTTTTCAACCAAGACGGATTTCTGGGAATGTGAAGAACACTGAAGCGACGTGACATTCCTTAGCTTGTAGCAGGAAGGCAACTCCCCGCTTCCTTTCTAGACGGGTTGCCTCATCTTTCTGAACAGGACGAAACAGATTTCCTTGAAACTTACATGCCTCTGGGAAAGAAGGCAGGAGAGCCCCTCCCTTTGTGGGGCCGCTCGGTTACCCTGCCCCAGAGGAAGGGTGGGCAAGCACTGTCACCTCCACCGTCCCGCCTTCCCCTGGGTGAGAAAGACGCACACGATGTGCACCCCGTGCCCACCGCGTGCACGGTCACGGGCACTGGTCACAGCACAGTCGCTACACGTGTGCGGGGCATCTAGGGACACATCAGCCTTGGTGAGGGGCATGGCAGCCGGTTCCAGGCTCTGTCCTTTTCAGAATAAGTCACAGGACAGGTAAATGATCACCTTTGGCCCGTGGGTGAACTTGTGTACATCCAAATCCCAGAGGAATGTTATTTATTAACAGTGCTGTTAACAAACAAATATTGTGGGTTTGTGGCGGGAGCCCGGCGGGGGGGACAGGGGTGGTGGGCGCAGAGGTGAGCAGGGAAGGGCATCTGTTGTCCCAAAGGGCTCAGCGTTGGGGTGGACTGCACCGTCCACGTCATGAAGTGGAGGGCGCACCATGTGTGGGGCTCAGGGGAGGGGAGTAGAATGTTCCAGGAGTGGGTCAGAGGAGACTGATTCCAGGAGGCACGTTTGAGCCAGGCTGGGGGCGCTGGGGACCGGTGTCCGTCCCAGCGGTGGGGCCACCGCAGAGAAGTGGGCAAGGGAGAGGACAGACAGACGGAAGATGGACCCAGAGGCGGGCGCTGGAAGCCAGGCTGGGGTGGGGTGCAGGCAGGGTTTGCCCAGGCTGCAAACAGACACGGGACAGTGGAAACCGGCTTAGAACAATTCAGGATTTAGTGGGCGGAGGAACTTGTGACTAGTTTGGTTGGGACCCAATGAAAACCCGACACTGGGGTTGCCTGGGTGGCTCCATCGGTTAAGCATCCGACTCTCGATTTTGCCTCAGGTCACGACCTCGCGGTTTCTGAGTTCAAGGCTGGCATCGGATTCTGCACTGACTGTGTCGAATCTGCTTGGAATTCTCCCTCTCTCTCTCTCTCTCTCTCTCTCTCTCTCTCTCAAAATAAATAACCTTAAAAAATTTTTTAAAAAGACCATCAAAGAAGCAGGCAGAGACATATATAAAGATGTCGAAAGCAGGAGATTAGAGAAAAACTGGAAATACTTCAATTGTCCCATAACAAGGGATTGAGATAAATTTGGGCTCAGCCATACAGCTAAATTCAACACCAGGTAGCAGCAAAAGGGCTCTTGCAGATTGACAGGAACCTGCGAAGACTATTCATGACGCATTCGTGCACATGGAAAATACACTGCACAACATTACCTACCAACTGATCTCCTTTCGGTAAAAACGCATTTATGTGAGTACATTCATTAACTACTCAGCTTTTTAGAGAAGGGACAATCCAAAGAATTATTCCATTTTTTTTAAAATTTTTTTTCAACGTTTATTTATTTTTGGGATAGAGAGAGACAGAGCATGAACGGGGGAGGGGCAGAGAGAGAGGGAGACACAGAATCGAAAACAGGCTCCAGGCTCCGAGCCATCAGCCCAGAGCCTGACGCGGGGCTCGAACTTCACGGACCGCGAGATCGTGACCTGGCTGAAGTCGGACGCTTAACCGACTGCGCCACCCAGGCGCCCCAGAATTATTCCATTTTAATTGTGATGAGCGATCACTGGAAGAGTGTGTGTGTGCTCAGTGTGTGTGATGGGGAAGAGACCCGACCAATTAGCACTTACGGGGTAAATAAGAATACACAGCAAAATGCTTTGTGACTTTAATTTTTCTTTTCTTTTTTTTTTTAATTTTTTTTAACATTTATTTATTTATGAGAGACCAAGAGTGCAAGCAGGGTAGGGGCAAACAGAGAGAGAGACACAAAATTGAAGCAGGCTCCAGGCTCCGAGCTGTCAGCACAGAGCCCGACGCGGGGCTCGAACTGACAGACTGTGAGATCGTGACCTGAGCTGAAGTCGGACGCCCAGCCGACTGAGCCCCCCAGGCGCCCCTAATTTTTCTTTTTAATTAGCTGTGTGTCCTAGGTTACTTGGGGGAGAAATATTTACTTTTCAATAATTTTTAAAATGAAAAGGAAAGAAGCAAGTGTGAAAGTAAGAAAAAAGAAGGAATGTGTGTGTTCAAGGACTCACGGAAGAGAGACCTTCCAGAAGACAATCAACTGCATCGGCTACTCTGAAAGACCCAACAGGATGAAGACCAAGAGAAAGAAAGGAGGAAGCCACCGATGACCTCGCCTTTCTTTGGGGAAACGTTTATTTATCACCGTTTATCTCCAGCCACCTTTGTCTCTCAGCCCAGACCCACATTTTCCATGGCCTCCTCCTGAACATCATTGCCTTGCTATTCCTTGGCTAGTTCAAGCTTAGCATACCCCAAACAGAGCTCCACCCCGTCACTCCAGCCCCCCCCCCCCCCCCAGCCCCTGATCAGACAGATAGACACCAGACTCATTCACCTGTTTTCTCCATCCTCCTTGGTTACGTCACCATCCACCCTCATCCACTGAGTAGCATTCCAGAATCTTCCCTTCCTCTCCCGGTGCACGTTTAGATGACCCTTTAAATATCTCTTTGGCTAATCTCTCCTCTCTAACCTCGAGGCTACAGCCTTAGGCCTTCCTCATCTCTTATCTAGACCAGCTCACCACCACCTTACCCCCGGTCCTCCCACTCTTAACCCGCCCTCCACACCTTCAGAGACTCTGAATGCCTTTGGACCATTTGACTGACACATAACACCCCATTCCCATTCTCCCCAGAAAAAAAGTCTTACTTCTTTAA